CCCTCAGTCCCCACGGCCATGCCAGCCCTGGCCCCCCCTACACAGGCACTGGGCCGATGACCCTCGTTCCTGCCCTCGGCCCCGGTGTTCCAGACCAGAGGGAGTGGGTCAAGCTAACGTACTCGGTGAGAAAGAAGGTCCCAGAGGTGACCCATCCTGGGAGCCGTCCCCCAGGTCAGGGAAAGCCCCGTCTCCTGTGCACTGCGCACCACAGGGCTGGGCTGGCCAGCGGCTCGAGGGCTCTGCCGCCGGCCCTGGGCTCACTCTCCTCTTTCTTGTTGTTCAGGACGGGAGCACGAGCAGCAGCCCCCCGGCCTCGCCCGCCAACACCAGCTCCGAGCTCCGCGAGAAGGCTCTGGTAAGGTCCCCGACCCCCTAGCTGGCGGCACAGGCTGTGGGCAGCAGGGCAGAGGGGCTGGCGCCACTGTTAGCAAACCATGGAGATTCCTGAGAGCTGGGCCAGCTGCTCCCTGGCAGGGCCCGCTCTAGGCACCAGCTAAGGAAGGAGGTGCCTGGGGCGGCAAATCTGAAGGGGCTGCAGTCCGTCTGCTCTTGGGGCGGCACGCCGACTTTTTTTTTCTTCCTCTTCTTCGGCGGCAGTTCGGTGGCAGCGTTTTCATTTTTTCCCCTTTGCTTCGTTGCTTGGGGAGGCAAAAAAGGGAGAGCCGGCCCTGGCACCACAGCGCCCGGCGCTCTGTGCGTTCCGAGGCTGGGCCTGTGCTGCCAGGCGGCTCAGTGCCCACTCGGCGCCCGGCTGCAAGGTCACGGGGCGGGGGGGTGACTCTCTAAGCCCCGTGTGCGCAGGAACACACCTGCCTGGGCACCCTGGCGGCTTGGACGTGCCCTTGGTTGCCTGGCTGCTGCCCGGCTCCGGGGGCTTGGGCTTTCCCAGAACTGGTGTTGTCCGGTCCGGGTGGAGGTGGCTTGCCGGCCAGCAATCCTGGCTGTCTGGGGCTTCTCCGTGCCCCCTTCTGCCCCTCTCGGCTGGGCTGCCCCAGTCAGAGAGACCCTGTGGGGCAGCTGGAGCAGCCCGGCCTGTGAGCCCAGGGCAGAGCCCAACGCCCGTTCCAAACTCCCAGGAGTGGGAGGGGCTCCGAACCCAAGCCCCAGGCCGAGGCAGACCCCCGAGCTGGCCCCCTGCTCCTCGGTGGCCCCTCCCTCCTTTGCCACTTAAACCCGTTGGCACTGCCCGTGTCTTTGCAAAGCGCTTGGGGAGCCAGGCCCCCCTGGCCAGCACGCTGCACAGGGCATTGTTTTCAGCAGCCCCCTGCCCAGTGTAACCCAGGGCTCTGGCACCCCCGCCCTTCGCCACCAAGCCCTTGGCCATCCCAGCCCGATCGGATGGCACGAGGGAGCTTTGATTGCCCCGGAGCGGCCGAGCTGGCCTCATGCTTGTTATCGGACTAGCGCCCCCTGCCTGAGGGTACGGCAGGGCCCGGCTCAGACACGGGCGCCTGGAGCGGAGAGAGTGGCTCAGAAGCTGCCCTGGGCTGGGAGGGAGCAGCTGGTGGAGCCCAGGCCCCACGTCAGCCTGTCCCCTAGCTCAGTGGGTCGAGCGCCCTGCCGAGAGGTGGGAGACCCCTCCTCACATCCTGTGTCTGCCCCTCAGCCAGCTGAACCTGGGCTCCCCCGCATCCCAGCAGGGTGCTCTGAGCCCCGGGCTAACGGTTAAGGTGGGTGGCAGCAGCTCTGAGTGGGGCCTGGTCCAGTCAGTGGCTCCCCGAACATGCCACCGGCTGGGCCCTGCCAAGCGCCCGTCCCCCCGTGTTTGGGACTCGCTCCGGGGCGCAGGCAGGAGGGGCGTATCCAGGGGCCCACAGGGAGGCAGCAGTTCCCAGGCCCAGGAATTTAGGTGCCGAGGGAATTTTGTCCTGAAAGTTGAGGCGCTGAGGGAGGTTAGGCACCTGCAGGGAGAGGCAGGAGTTTTGTGCATCTCCGAGGGGCCAGAATTAGGACTGGGTGTCGAGCTGCTCTGAGCAGCCGACCCTGAGCGGTGCTGTGCCGCGGGAGGGGGAGGGAGAGCAGGGCGAGATGGCAGGAGGAGGCAGAGACCAGCGAGCGGTGGGGAGGGAGCACAGGGCCCCTTTTGTGACCTGCAGCTTTTCCCCTTTTCCCAGACCTCGAGCCAGTCGGACCTGGAGCTGAACCCCCCCGAGTCTGACGGCCTCCTGGACCAGCAAGGTGAGCCAGGGCCCTCAGCCGCACCCCCTGCCCAGAGCCTGGCCCCCCCCAGCCCTCGCACACTCAGCAGCCCACGTGCAAATGAGCGTGCAAGTGCAGCGAGGAGCTCCCTAGGGGCCTCCCTTCTCTTCCGTTCCGGGCAGCATCCTGTGCCCTCGGCCTGTGTCTGAGCGTCGCAGCGTCCGGCCAGGAACCTGGCTCCACCGACAGTCGCTTGCATTAGGTGGAATGAGTTTGACCAGCCTCCACTCAGCCCCTTCCAGCGCCATGGCAGGGTGGAGCTGGTGACGGCTGGATCTCCTGCCCTGCCTGGGACAGCAGGACCCCCAAAGGCAGGCAGAACACGCCATGCCCGGCCCACAAGCCACAGTCCCCCAACCTCCCTGGGGGTGGCACACGGGAGCCTGGCACCTGGCTGGGCACAGGCAGCGCCAGTGACTGGGTATCCCGTTGTGTGTGCAGACGGGCTGGGCCCGAAGCAGAGCAGAGAGGACGAGGGCGAGGAGACGGCAGCGCCGAGCACAGGTGAGTGGATCCCTCAGACCCAGGCTCGCTGGCTTGGCTCAGGGTGGGGGTGCCCAGGCAGGACCCCCTGCGCCTGCTCTCCTGTGGGCACTGGCACAGGACACTGGGGACCCGCCTGCAGCCACTCAGGGCATTGTGACAGCTCCGGGCAACTGGGCAGGGAGGTAGCTGGCATCCCCTGCTGCTGAGCCCCAGATGTGCCACCCAGCTACACGTCTGCCCATGGGGCAAAGAGCTGCTGTTGTGGTGTTTGCTGCCAGGCGTTGGCACATCACCCCCTCGCCAGCCCTGCTGCAGGGTCAGGGCCAGTCTGAGCAGGCTGTGGGAGCCTGGCTGGCCTCACTGCCGTCACCTCAGACTGACACCGGGGGCAGGTGCTTGGCATGGACCTTGGCTGCCACCTGGTACACACCCCGGGCACCAGGCAGGGGAGCCAGTCCCTGGAGGGGTCTCGCCGTGGCATCCCTATGGGACTCGGATGATGTACGCCCTCTGGGCTCGGCAGCCCCCGCAGGGAGAGTCCTTTGTCCTCGGAGCTGCAGAGGGTGGCTGCTATGCAGGCTCATGAGGGGGGCTGGGCAGTGGGGGCTCTGGGGGGCAGTTGGGGCTCGGGGGGCAGGGGCGGGGGGGGTTAGGGGGGACTGTGCAGTCCTGGGGGGCTGGGCAGTGGCAGGTCCCCCCGATCCCTCCCAGGGTAGCTAAGGGCCACAGCCCTGCCTTCTCCCATTCAGTGATGTCCTTTTCCCGGCAGGGGGCACGTGGCCAGGCAGGCAGATGAAGAAGAAGCCCAGGGGCTGGTGGGCGCAACTGAGCACCCTCAACGTCGTCATCCTCATCTACCTGCTGCTGTGAGTCCCGGGGCAGTCGGGCCAGCGGGCACCAACGGGGCTATTCGAGTGTGGCACCGGGCAGCGCTAATAGCAGGGCACCGTGTGCCAGTGCCACCCCCCTTAGCTCCAGTGCCCGTGGACTCAGCCTGGTGCTCCTGGCACAGGGTCAGAACGTGCTGGTCTCCGGTCTGTGTGCCGAAGCCCCAGCCGGCTGGCGTCCTGGCTGCCGGCTCTTCCCCTGCGCTGGTCCTGCCCGCGGCTCCCTCCCCTGCTGTGCCTTGCGCCGTGCATAGACAGTCCCTCTCGCTGTGTGGGTGGCATCTGGGGGCAGCAGGCTGCTGCGTTCCCTAGCTCCCCGCCGGGCTGTGCCACTCCCAGAGGGAGCTCGGCGGCTCCCAACGCTGTGGGGCTAACCGCCGTCACACGAGAGCTTGGAGTTTGCGGTTCTGCTCCAGCTAAGCCCAGCTCCCGTGGGCACCCTGCCCTGGGCTCCGGGCACTAAGCAGCTGTTCGTCAGCCCGGCTCCGCCCGGGTGAATGCCCCTGCCCGGCGTACCAGGCCAGGCCGGCTCTCTCTGCTCACACTGCCCTCCCCCCAGGGTGGTGGTGTTGCTGCTGTCCTCGGGGTACATTGGCCTGCGGATCGTGGCACTGGAGCAGCAGCTGATGTCAATGGGGGCCTGGCCAGAGCTCGACCTACACCAGTGAGTAGCAGGGCCCCGCGGGGGGAGCAGGGAACCAGCGAGCGGGAAGGGCCCGAGCCCCCGCTCCCAGCCATGGTCCAGGGGTCAGGGCAGCAGCGGGACCCCAAACCCTGGGTCCCTTGGGCAGGTCACGTCCCCTCCTCGGGCTGCTGTCTCGTGTGTCTGTGCTGGGCCTGGCACAAGGGGAGATCGAGCAGCCAGCCAGCCCCTGCTGGCTGGGCGTATTGGGGGACCCCCAGCCTCCTGATGGAAAATACAGGGCCCTTAACTCAATGACTCCCACCGAGAGCCACGGCAGCTGGACCCCAGCTTGGGGGCTTGGCCCTCCGGGGCGGCACCGCTCCGTTTGCAGGGTCTTTGCTGGGGGCCGGAGAAGGCAATGCCCAGATCCTGGGGGCTGAAGGGCTCTTCGGTGAAAGCCCCCAGCAGGGCTGGGTGTCTCCCGGGGAGTGGCGTGCAGACGGAGCAGGCGAGGAACTGCCCGGCTGTGGCGGCAGTTTATTTTCTCTGTTTGACATCGGGCCACGGGCCGGGAACGTCCGTCAGCCAAATCTCAATTCCCCGACGAGCCAAGTAAACGGGACACAAAGGGGGGCACCAGCTAAAGGGGGGCACGTGACCTCCCCATGTGACTTCTCCGTGCCCTGCCCCCAGCCTGGAGCCCCACTGCTCTCCCCGTCCCCTCCTCAACCCACGTTACCGGCCGCCCCACGTTCTGCTCCTCTCACCGCTGCGGTTCCCTGCTGAATGTGCCCCCCACACTCACCTGGGGACTTGGATCTTCGGGCCCAGGGGAGGGGGGGCAGGGAGGGGAGCAGCTGCCAGGGACAGGAGCCCCTTGCTGGAGTGGGGTGAGCTGGGGAAGACCCAGGGGAGCAGGGGGTGATTCCTCTCCCCAGCCCAGCCCGTCTCTGCCTCTCCTGCCCGTGCCTGGCTCCTGCCCCCAGCTGGGAGCTCAGCACTGGCCCGGTCCCAGCTGCAGCGGCCCTGTGCTGACCCATCTCCGAGCGTGGCTTCCCCGCCCAGGCCAGCACCTGCCAGCCTAGAGACACCCTGCAGCCAGCAAGGAAAAGGGGACGCCTGACAGGGGAGCGCAGGGGCTGGAGCTGCCTCAGGATAAATCTCCAGAGCCTGCCAGACGTCCCCCTCCGGGTGCCTCCAGCCCAGTCCCTGGCCCTGGCAGGGAACAGTGGTCACCCTGCATGTCGGTCACACTTCCTCCCCAGCACCCGCAGCCCCGAGCCCCGCCCAGGCACCACGAGGGAGGGGGGAATGAGGAAACTGAGGCCCAGAGGTGCTGGCTCCTTGCCAGCAGGCAGGATTTCCCTGGGCACTAACCGCTGCCTTTGGTGGAGGCTCAGCAAAGGCAAACGGGCAGGGAGCTGCCCCCGGTCTCCGACCGCCCCTGGGCGCCGGGTACGAAGCGGGCAGGCCTCACTGGAGCCTGCAGCTGTTGGCCCTACAGAGGGCAGGCGCTGGGTGCACATCCAGGCATGTAACCCAGGAGTCCGGGCTCCCGGCCCCATGGCCCAGGGGCAGCAGGCAGCCATGCTCCTGCTCAGCAATCCCTCCTGCCAGGGCTGTGCAGGGCGGGTTATTCCTTTAACAGGCGGCAATGAGTGTAAATCCCCGGGCTCTGGGCCCATGGCTGCGAAGCCGCTCGGCCTTTTCCTGCTCTTCCCGTTACGCTCATTTCACATGGGGTGCGTGGGGGGCAGAGGAGGCCCCAGCCGCAGAGCAATTGGCTTTCTGCCTCCCCGTCCCCTCCTAGAGAGCCGCGGTAATTAAACCCCATTAGTCAGTGAGCGATGGGAAGTGACTGAGCTGTTCCCCAGTGGGCGCAGCCCGTGCCCCTGCAGCCATCACAGCTTGCCCGCTTGTGAGCAGCACTAGCCCCAGGCTGGCAGGCTCGGCTGCGCCGGGAGCCCTGGCCCACGTGGGCTGCAGGCTGCTTCGTCTGCAGCCGGCCCTCGGGTTACTCCCCACGCCGCAGCCCCAGGACCCGCCACACACCAGCCGGGGGCTTTGTTAGCTGGACGAAAGGCGGCGTTACCACCCCCTGCAGGGGGGAGTCAGCTGCGGCTTCACATCTTGGCCCCCCAGGAACTGGGGGCGATTCCATTTACAGGGGAGGGGCTGAACCCACGCCAGGTGCCCAGCCCTGGACCCCTGAGCCAGCCTGTCTTCTCACGCTGTTGCTGCCCCCCCGCAGCTGCAGTAATTTGCCCCACTCATTTGCTTAACCAGTTTTCTCTTGTTTATGTAAAGATACAAGACGACCTGAAACCAGGGAGGAGTCAGGCTGCACTCAGCACCGGAGGGGGTGCCCGAAGGACCAGGCTTGCGGCTGGCAGATGCCACCCCTGCCAAAGGGGCTGGAATCCCACGGCTCTCCCCTCATCCTGAGCTGGGTCTTGCCCTCAGCAGAGCTGGGACTGATTTTTAAGGAGACCAGGGGAGGGAAATGAACCGACAAGGCCTGGACCAGGAACAACTCCTCGTGGATGAAATGCAGACACAGCAGTGCTGGTGCTGATGCAGAGGACAAGTTGAACGTCTCCTTCTGAGCGGTCGGGCACTTAAACCGTGTGCCTTAAAGCCCCCCTGTGCTGGGTTCAATAGCGCACCAGCTTCCCCTTGGGAACCTGCACAAGCCCTGGTGCAACTGATTCCTGCCCAACTGCAGGGTTTGCAACCTCAGCTGTAACGGACGCAGGGCCTGACTGCCCTGAGCAAGCAACTTTCACGCAACCTTCAGCTGAGGCAGCAAAACTCAATGGTCTCGGTCCTTGTGCCAAAAAGGAAATGGGCGTTTTCGGCTTCCGCCGGGGGCCCTTGGCCACTGGAGAGCGTGAGAATATCCAGCCGGGCCGGGAGGGGAGCCCTGTCCCGAGTGAGCGACGCTGCCTGGCTCTCACAGCAGCTGTGCAATGCAATGGAGCTGCAAGGCACAAGCCTCCTGCTGACCTTCCGTCCAGCACCGAGCGTCACCCCCGCCGCTGTCTGAGGCCTTGGCTACACTGGAGCCAAGGCAGCGCTGTGATGCGCGAGTGTAGTCGCGCCGCCAGCGCTGCGAGAGCTCTCTGGCAGCGCTGTAAGTACTCCACCTCTCCGAGCGAGCGTGCAGCGCTGCAGGCGCTGACTACACTGGCGCTTTACAGCGCTGCACTCGCTGCACTGGGGCGGGGGGCGTTTTCACACCCCTGAGCGCAGCAAGTTGCAGCGCTGTACAGCGCCAGTGTAGCCAAGGCCTGAGACACCCTGGGCTCGCGCGTGCTCAGGGCCCCTCCTGGGGAGACGGGGCTCCCTCCGGGCACGGGCTGCTGTGGGAGGCAGCTGCTGTCAGCCTCCAGGGGCCCCAGCCAGGCCTGGAATTCACCTCTGTCCCGCCTGTGGGAGATGGGGCTGCTAGGCCCCCTAGGGGGTTGCGGGTCCCCTGCAGCTGTTGGGAGGACCGTGGCAGAGCTTGGGCCGCGGGTTCTGGTCAGTTACAGGCAGGGGGCTGGGGGTCCGTGTCATAGCACTGAACCGGTGGGTACGGCCCCCGCCCCATTCGTTCAGGAACCAAGCCCAGCGCCCCGGTGCCCAGCCGGCGCCTAGAGCAGAACAAGGGCCCGAACCAACCCACTGGCGCCAACCGCCCCAGGCTGGGGTGAGAATCCAGCTCGGCCTCACGCCCTGTGCCCAAGCTCTCCATTCGGCTTGGCACAGGCCCTTCCTCCAGTGCCTGGTGCTGCAGGCCAGCGCTCAGGTAGTGCCAGGGGAGGGTCTGGGGCAAAGGGCTGGGTTCTGTTATTAATAAAGGCAAGCCAGCCCCGCACTCTGGCTCCAGCTCATGTGTCTGCGGCAAAGCTCTAGTCCTGCAGGGGGGGCTGGGAGCCCGGGACAGAGGGGTCCCACTGGGTGGGGGTGGAGGGGGCCACTTGAGTCCCTACTATCCCCCTGCCCTGCAGCAGGACCCTCCAGCCTGGACCCATCAGAGCCAGGTACTGGGGAGCTTGGACACTGGGCAGAGGGATAGCTCAGGGGTTTGAGCATTGGCCTACTAAACCCAGGGTTGTGAGCTCAGTCCTTGAGGGGGCCATTTAGGGATCTGGGGCAAAAATCTGTCTGGGGATTGGTCCTGCTTTGAGCAGGGGGTGGGACTAGATGACCTCCTGAGGTCCCTTCCAACCCTGAGATTCTATGAGTCTCTGGGGTGCTGGTGAGCGAGTGGGTCCTGGAGAGATGGGGGGTGGGGATAGGGCCAGGTAAGCCCAGCTGCCCAGGCAGGAGAGTCCTAGGGCCTGGGAGATGGTCTCAGATGGCGCAGAACGGCTGCCTGCAGCGGGAACAAAGCAGTGGCGAGATGCTGGGTGGGCCCTGCCCCGGGCACGGCCAGCTCAGGGCAGCAGTGGTGCCGCCGAGGCAGAACAGAGCAGCGAAACATGGGGGGCCTGAACGCCTGCCCCCAGCATCAACTGTGTCCCCTACAAGGCCCCAAGGCAGTGTGGGGAGGAGCCCAGAGCAGGTTCTGCTGCCAGGGGAAGGGCGGACTGGGGGCAGTGGGTGAGCCCTAGAGGACCCCCAGTAAGTGCATGTCAAGGGGCACCTGGGCCCAGCCCGGGACCCTGCAGCCAGGCAGCTCCAGGCCGGGCCAGCGCAGGAGAGACGTGAGTCTGGGCAGGGAGCATCACACCAAGGAGCGAGCTGAGGGGTATGGAGCCGAGGGGCTGCTGGGTGCACAGCCTGCCAGGAGCCCTCTGGCCCTGCCCATGCGCAGCGCCAGTGCCTGCCCGGGCAGAAATGAACGGCTGGGGGGGGGCTGTTAACTCCTCTGGCTGCTGCCCACTCCGGCCCCAGGGCTCGACCGAGGGGCAGGGGTTGGGCAGAGCTGGGAAGGCAGCCGGGCAAGGCTGTGTGTTCCCCCGGGGGGAGCCCGCTGGGGGTGGCACAGCGGCTGAGGCAGGCGCATGGGTGGGAAGGGCCTGCTCAGACTACGCAGGCCTGCCGCGGGTACCCAGGGCCACTGGCCACAACTCCAGCCAGCCACGGGCCCAGAGCCAGGCTCCTTGCAGCAGGACATCCGGGAGCCCCTGGCAGCCCAGCAACTCGGGCGACCCAGCCCCGCTCGCTCCCCCCAGCCCCGCTCGCCTCCCTCCCCCCAGCCCGACGGAGGCAGCCTGCGGCACAGCAGCGTTTACTGGTGGGTGGACGGCTGGTGGCTGAAGAGCGTCCAGGTGCGGAAGTCCCTGGTGGTGAAGGCGGGCGTGTGGGCGGCCAGGCAGGGGACGTAGCCAGCGTGGCCCTTCAGCTCACTGCTGGCGCGGTTACGGTTGACAACTGGAGGGGAGGAGAGAGCAGGTGAGTGGGGGGCAGGGGAGAGACTCTGAGAACCACGTTGAGAGCAGCCAGGGGACCCAGGGGCCTGCCCGGCCAGACCTCGCCCCTGGTTTAACACTGCTGGCCCCTTCACACGCCTTCCCCAGGGCGCTCGGGATGCTGCGGGTCTTGTCCCTGCTTCGCGGCTAGGGGACAGGAGAAGGGATGTGCCCCACGTGTGAGAGGCCGGGGGGACAGGCCAGGTTGGCCAGGCTGCACCTGAACCCACCTCCCCCTTTACAAACATGCTCTCAGGCTAATGGCATGAGACTCGCCCCCAGCCCCCCAGGGCACCCGGCAAAGGAGGGGCCGGATCACTAGCCCTGCCCCGATTTGCCCAAGGTCTCGCGCCAGGAGTCCCCCAGCACACTGCCTCCGGGCCCCCTGCGTGTGCGTGTGTGTGGGGGGGACATGGCGAGGGGAGGAGAGGGAGGAGACTCAGAAGCAGCAAAACGTCCCTCCGGGGTCAGAGTCAGTGACCTGCTCTGCCCACTCACTCCCCCAGCCCTCGAGATCAAAGCCACAAGCTCTTACCATACTCCTTCCCTAGGACGGGTTTGTCTTTCCACAGGAAGGCCCCCCACCTGGTGCTGGGCTCCAAGTACTGGGCAGGGACCACTGGGTCAAACCACGCTCCCTCCCGCAGGTGCTGGGCATAGGCTGTTGGAGCAAAACAAGCACAGCAGAGTCACTGGGGAGGAAGCCCAGCCAGGCGCGGATCGAGGAGATGCCAGGCGTGCTCCAGGCGTGCTCCAGCACCCGTGACAGACAGTGTGGGAGTAATCTTCATAGCAGGGAACGCTCCTGCTGAGCTCAGCCCGTTAGCCAGGGGCTAATGCCTTGAAACCTGCCGCTTCACCTGCCTTATAACTATTTACCATCCTGCTTAACACAACTCTGGCCCGTTTTAATAACCACAGCTCTGAGCCTGTTCTTGTAACCGTGTAAACTCCGGGCCGCGTTCATGTCTCGTGGCAAGGGGTTCCACTGGCTGGTTAGCCAAGTGTGACATTTTACACCTCAGTCAAACCCATGTGCAAAATACTGGGTTTAAATGCCTAGAAAATACATTTCCCTGCCCCCTCCCCCCACCGCCTCAGCTTGTCAGGTACTTGAAAACTGATTTCCCCAAAGCGTCACCTGGGGGTCAGGGCCTGGCACAGACAATTTCAGCCCCAACCGAGATTTTCCCAGGAGGTCACAAGCAAGCAACGTTGTGTCTCGCAACCTCACGTGAAGCGCAAAGCTGAGCCGGCGTTCCCCGAAGAGGGAGGAGCGGGACTCTGGAAAGATGGGCTGGTGGGGGGCGTGGGCGAAGCCGCAGCCAGGGCATGGGGGCAGAGGGAGTTCTCAGCCCCTGCATTGCAGAAACTCAGGCCCAGCTCATGCAATTTTGCATCACACCCAGTCAGCGTGGCGTCGTCCAGGCTGACTTGCCTAACGCCCTGATCCATGGTGACCGGCCCCGGGGCCTCCCCCCGCAGTCCAGAGGAGAGCTCCTTCGCACCTCCAAAACAGGTGCCAAAGCTCCCGGCACAGCTGTCCCGGTCCTTCCAGCTGCTGTGCAAAGAACGGGAGCTCCCCCTGCTGGACTGTTGGTGCATCGTACCAACCCCGAGTGCCCAGTGTGCAGCATGGCCCTGAGTCCCCAACATGCCCCCGAGGGCCCTGGCACATTCCCACAAGGGGCAGATGCGCAGAAGCAGCGACGGGTGCATGACTCATGCGGAACATCAGAGCCTTGACTTGCTCCCACTTCCCATAGCCTTGGAGCACCCTTGGCCCTGGACCTCCCTCCCCCGACCACTGCCTGCAGCGTCGCTTGCATACGGCACGGCCTTGACATTGCCCCTGTGGAAATCCTGCGTTTCCCCTGGCCTTGACTACAGCAGCTCTGGTGCAATCCCTGCCCCGGCTCCCCCGAGGGCCGGCTAGCCAGGCACCCGCGTACACGCACGGTTAGAGGGGGTCCCATCGGCCCTGCCTGGGAATCAAGGTCAGCTCAAGAAGTTCCTTTACAGAAAGCCTGACAGCGATTAGGCCACTGGTCATGCTGATCAGCGCCGTGTTTCCATGGGCTCACATGGCGGCCTGTATCCAGCCATTGTCTCGTCTTGGCCAGTCAGGTTTTCAGGGCAGGGAGCGTCTCCTTGGTCTGTGTTTGCCCAGCGCCCAGCACGGTGGGGTCCCAGGCATTAGGATAACACACACTGACTAAAAACTCATCATCTAGGCAGATTGACATTGCCACGCTCGGCTCCCTCCTTAAAGGAGCCTGGCACGGAAAGATGCCCCATGCCATGAATTTGCATTGGATCCACATCACCTCCGCATTCATTGGAGAGATGAGACTCCCAGGGCCTATAAAACGACAGACGTGATTCCCCCGTCTGACCCCATCAGCACTCACGCCAGGGCAGAGCGAGCGCAGAACTGGGCTGACGCGCCGTTGCCCTGCAACTGGTGTTGTGCAGACACAGGGCAGCAGGCAGTCGGCCCCAGTAGCTTTTAGGGCATTGGTTGGGGCTATTATTAAATGGCTGCTCCAATCATGTGTTTAACACGTATCTAGCCAAACAAAAGGAGGAGAATCTGCAAGGTAATCAGTCAGGTTTCTTTCAGCACGTCTTAGTCACATTCTTAGTAGTTTTTTTAAT